CTCTCCCTCCACTCTTCCCCCACCCTCTCCACCAGCTCCCCCCAGCCCCCCACCCAATCTCCACTCCAATCCCCAGGGAGGGTGAGGCCCCCTATGGTGGATCTCCAGAGTCTGCGATATCATTCAGGGCAGGGCCTAGGCCCTCCCCCAAGAGTCCAGGCTGAGAGAGCATCCCTCCTTTTGGGATGGGTTTCAGTTTTCGTTGTTGTTTTGTTTCTTTTTCTTTTTGGTTTTTCAAGACAGAGTTTCTCTTTATAGCTTTGGGTTTCTGTTTGTAATCCTGACATTCGCTCTGTAGACCAGACTGGCCTCAAACACACAGAGATCCACCTGCCTCTGCCTCCCATGTGCTGGCATTAAAGGAGTGTGCCACCAGCACCCAGCTTTATTTACTTTATGTAAGTACTGGGGGATCCCATTCATGGCTTCATGCCTCCCAGCAAGCCACCTCCCCAGGGATGGAGGAGGCATTTTGTGGTCAACCTGCAGGATAAGGAGAACTGCAGTAGAGAAAGATCAGAAGGAACATCCCAGCCAGAGAGCTAGGAGAAGCAAATCCAAGAACAGTGGCACTCAGTCCTGCTGAACTGCCTTGTGCATGGATGTAAACTATGGGGAAGTCACAGTCGGGGGCCGGCTCTGTGCTGGGCTGAAAGCAGGCATGTCCTCTTGATTTAATGGGCCATGGAGAGAAGTCACAAAAATATATCTGAGCCAAAGAATGGCTCGATCTGAGCTATACTTTAAAGAGATTAATCCAGCAGCATTATGTGGGACGGCTTCAGAGGCAGAGAGAATGGGAGTCAGAAGAATAAGAAACCAGACAGAGTAATCCTGGGCAGAAGATAATGAGGGATTGAACTAGGCCAGCCAAGATGGGAAGGAGGAAATTGATGGATGGGAGAGAAACTGCCAGTGCAGAAAACTGACGTGATTTGACAGCCCTAAGTAAGAAATCTTTCACAAACATGTGTATCATTCCTATTTACTGCTACTTGGGGCAGTAGGGATCAGCAGACCGTCTGTCATTAATGCTAATGAATAAGTCAGATTTTATCCCACATTTAAAGCACACTGCCAGGAACCCAGACCCCCTACACTCGCAGAAGTAAGAGAATATCTTCTTAAGATTTATTTTTTCATCATTCTTTTGTTGTTGCTGTTTTGTTTTGTTTTTCTGATATAGGATTTCTCTGTGTAGCCCTGGCTGTCCTAGAACTTGCTCTGTAGACCAGGCTGGCTTTGAACTCAGAGATCCACCTGCCTCTGCCACTTGACTGCTGGGATTTCAAGTGTGTGCCACCACTGTCTGGCTATTTTTATTATTCTTAATTACATGTAGGCACATGGTCCTGAATGTGTGTATGTGTGAGTGAGCCCTTGAGGAACTATTGTTACAGATGGTTGTAAGCTATCTGATGAGGGTCCTGGCACTGAACTCATGTCATCTGGAGAAGCAAGTGCTTTTAACCACTAAGCCACCTCTCCAACTCCCAAAGTAAGGGAATATCCATGGCCAGGACCAATCAGTCGCCTACTTAGAATGCACTCACTACAGGGTCACACTCCTGGACCTCTAATCCCAAGAGGAACACCTGGAAAGATGTCACTGTGTCCCTGAGTTGCCTCAGGGTTCACTAGGCCTAAACTTGACCTAGAGGCAAAGCTGTTTCAGAGTCTCCTAAGGGAGTAGCCCCAAGGCTCAGTGTAGAGACACACAAGCTATGGAGAACAGAAACCAGAAGTGCCTTTTCTCATCTGCATCCTTGTCACCGAGAACAAAGCACGCAGGAGAAGGGCAGGAAACAAATGGTTTAGTCACTGAATGAGTTCCAGACACCCTAAAATGTCTGCACACTCTCTGGAGGCCACAGCAGCTGCCGCTCCATCACCAGCATCATTGCCCTGCACATCTGAAGCACCCCAAAGAAAGCTGAGCTGTGACCGGAGAAAGAGCAGAGAGTGTCCCTGTTTGCCCAGACCAGGGAAGAGGGAAAGGGGAGGGGCGTGTGCCAGAGATGCAACTCCTGCCCTGCCCCGCCTCCATCAGTAGGGGAAGGTACAGCAGTGTTCTCTCGGGGGCAGACGGAGAAACCAAATGCACTAAATAATATTTTTTTAATTTAAGTCAATAAAGCACTTGAGAGTATTTGCAGCATGAACAACTCTCACAACCAAATAACATTCCCCGCTCCTTCCACGGCTACAGCTTCTGTTTCAACACTTGTTCCCCTCCTTATCATCCCGCTATTGCTTCAAGCCATGATTTGATGAATCTCAGTGCCAGAAATAAAGCAAAACTTATTAAAATGATGCTGTCAAAGTGCTGTAATTTTACTCCCTGGCACTTTCAGCTGTTTAAAACCAGGGCTCACTAGCCAACCCTTGGGCCCAGGTTTAGAAACGGCACTTGCCTCGGGTCCTGCTGCTTCTCTCTTGTGTATACAGAAGGTTTTCCTCAAATATTGAGGTCCACAAAGGTCCGGAGGGAGAACTCTCTACCTCCCCCTCCTCTGACTCTTTGTGAGCTGTCGTTATGTATGTGTGAAGCTTTGAGATTGAAAAATGACAGTAATCAGAATTCTGCTACACTGCACCCCAGTAGGAGTCCTTGAAGCCCTTGGGAAATCTGAGGGGGGCGGGGAGTGGGAGGACATTTATGGTATGCTATGGATACACTCTGATGAGAAGTCTTCATCTCCCTCCAGTGATGGCCGTGTCTATGATCTTGGGCTTGCATGAGCAGCATGGAAGAGATTCAGGAACTTCCAAGGTGATTGTAACCCTCAAGGAATGCAACCTCCTAGTTGCCTTCAAATGAGAATGCTGCGTTATCAAAGAGCGGTGCCTCCATGGGAACCATGTGCCTGCTATGATTGGTTTAATTGGACCAAGAACCACCTAGGAGATTACTAAACTATATTTCTGGCCATGCCTGGGGTAGAGCAGTACCAGAGACAGCTGGTATTTGGGGACAGCAACTGAGGTGGGAAGACTCACCCAGAATGTGAACGGTAGCATCCCATAAGCTGGAGGCCAGGGTGGAACAAAGAGTAGAAGGGGGAGAAACCAGGCAGTGTGTGCAAGTTTCACTCTCACTGAGTGACTGTCTTCTGCCACTGTCATTGTCTGTGGGCATCCAGTCCCAGCGTCTTCACCCTAGCCTTTCCCCACGGACCCATGACCAGCTAACTTCTAGAGAGCTCCCAAGCTGCATGCTCCCTGGACTGAGCAGCTACCGGGTTACCCAGCTTTCATCATGTAGAGGGTTATTATGGCACTTTCCAGCCTACAGTTCCATAAGTCAATCTAATAAATCACCTTTCATGGTCACACACACACAACATGCACAGGGGATGGGCTGCTTACTTTTTGTCATGGCTATGACCAAAAAAAATTGACAAAAGCAATTTAGATAAGGGGGTGACGTTTGGCATCACAGTTTGAAGGTACAGTACAACGTGGTAAGGAAACCATGACAGTGGGAACAGGAAGCAGCTAGCCCCATTGCATCCACAGTCAGGCATGTCAGAACGCTGTCCCAGAATGGAGTTGTTCGAGGGGAATCTGAGCGCTTTTGAGAAAACTTCAAGGGAACAAGGCAGGGGTCCTATCACTTCAGTTTCTTCAAAAACGTGGATATGTTCTTGGAATGTGTTTAGTATTCAGGCATCTGTACTGGCCTGTCCTTGGGGTTCTGACAGGATACACCCTCAACTGTAGTCACTAAGAGCACCACCTGTGCTTATTCACTATGTTCCCTTTTAAAAGGGACCTGCCAACCTCACATCCTCCTCTCTTTTTCTCCCTCTCTCTGTCTCTCCCTCCCTCCCTCCTTCCCTCCCTCCCTCTTTCTTTCTTCCTGCCCCTCTTTCCTCTCTCCTGCTGCTCCTGTCCCTGGAGGCCAGTCTCTCCCCTCCCCTTTCCCCCTTTTATAATCCCTTTCCCCAATTAAAAAAAACCCTCTGCTTGAACCCTGTCCCGTGGTGCCTTTGTCTCTCATACCACTTTTCTTAAATTACAGCAATGTGATTTTGTTATTTGCTTATATGCCTCTACAGAAATGCATGTTTTTGCCATGTGTGGCATGTCCTTGTGGTTGGACACTTTACTCGTGTGATTCTTCTTAACCCCCAGAGTATAAATTGTCTTGTTCCCTGAATAATGGTGGCTATTGAGGGAAACTTCAGTTTTAGGCTTCATTCTCCCAGGTCACACCAGAAGTTCGAGCAGAGAGAGATGAATGCTGATGCTCTACCCACTTTCCCAGGACAGTCCACAGAACGGTGCTTCCCAAATCCAGGCTTGTCTTCCCTCCTCGGTTAAACCTTTTTCTGGAAATGCCTTCACCAACACAATCAGAGGTGTGTTTCCACGGTAGTTCCAAATCCAGTTAGGTTGTGGATGAAGTCTAGCCATCACACATGACCCAAAGATGGGACCAACTTCTGGAAAGATCAGACGAGCACACCTGGGACAAACCATGCCTGGAAAGAAGTTGAGGAGCCTGGGAGCAGCAGCGGCCAAAGCAGCTGGTGACAGAACTCCAACAACAGCATTGCAACCAGTCAGCACTCCAGGATCGCACTCATTTCCTCCTTTTGTATTTGCATGAGGTACGGTTTAAATTTGGTTACTCAGCACCTTTTCTAGTAAGATTAAACACACACACATGAGCGCGCACTCACACACACACTCATGCACGCACGCATGCACACACCTTCATGTCAGCTGATAATGGGATCAGGAATGATGTGTGTATCTGGTCTGGTGCAACCAGCAGAGATCAGACCGTGCCCTGCCCCTGTCCAGGTGCTTGGAGGGGCAGAGAGCAGGGTAGCGGCAAAGACGAAACAAGGCAGGACAGATGGGTGCAGGGTGGAGGAGGCAGGAAGAACAAACTGAGAGAATCAGAGGTTAGAAACTGTCCTGGGTCCCCTCATCCTGCACTGCTCCCTCTTTCCACCAGCAACTCCTAGACTCTCCAGCCCACATTGACTGAAGAGTGAAGGCTACAGTCTGGGGACAGAATGCTAAGAGCACCGCTTGTACCCAGATTGAACTGGACTCGATTCTACACAATCTTGGACACAACATTGAGTATCTGTAAGTGTCTATTGTTTTCATTTGGTTACAGCAGGACCTAAATTGTGGTAGATCATTACTAGGGTGCCATGAGATGATATATGTAAACCCTGAATGGGTATTTGGAATTCAACCAACTCATCATCCCTAGTTCTAGCAAACTTGCCTCTTCCTTTGGTGAACTGCATGTCTACTCAAACTCTAACCATGTTGCTCTGTGTTGAATTGCTACTTTTTCCTATGATTTTGATGAGTGGGTAACCATGTAGTGATCGTCCATCCCAAGTTATTCTATGCATGGTACATTTCTCATAAGTACCATCATTGATTCTAGAGTATATAGCCTAAGTACCTGGACTCTTTGAAAGGAACAGGGGTATAGATGTTGAAATCCCTGGCTTTGGTTATCCTGTCTTTTTGTGACTTCGTTACCTACTAATTAGAATTGTGGTATTGCGACATGTTAAGAAAGGAATGAAAGGAATTCTGGGTAAGCCAGAAGTGGAGTGCTTAACATGACTGGGCCTAAAATATAGAATAGCTTTTAAAGTTTCTACTGAGAAATCTGCTGTTGCTCAGACAGGTCTATGGTTGACAGAGCAGTTTTCACATGTCTGCAATCTTTTGACACTCCAGCCATTAAGCGGCAGGCCCTCTATTCCTGGCACCTGCCTGGATAAAGGTGTATAGTAAAAATGACGCTGCATGATTCCTGAAGTTAGGAAAGGAAACATCATGGGGCTTCCACAGTGTCTATAGGACATTTACTCTGTGGCCTTTAGTCCTGAAGGAGGATGGATGGATATGTGTCTACCTGGTATAGAGAACCATGTGGAGAGAGTTGCCCAAAGAGTCTGAGCCTGGTGGGATCTTTTCAACCTAGGGACACTTTGTGAGATGAAGGAACCTTTCAAAGGACCCCAACCAACCCTAGCTTTTATCTGCAACCTTGACTGAGAACTACCTCTCTTTGCCCAGTCATCCTGCCACATCATAAGCAAATAATTGTACTTTTCAGCCACTATGTGGAGTGCATTGCCAAGTGGTAGGAGATAATTAGCAAGGGGAAGTCAGGGGCCATCACTGTGGCATAATCTTCACTAAGAACCAGTATAGCTGTTTGCAGACTCAGCGCACTAAGATCAAAGCACTAGGGACTTAAGCAAGTTGAGGATGATTTAATGTATCATAGAACCTACAAGGTGCAAAATCGTGAGAAACTACTCGTGGAACCAATGAAAAGAAATGGACACTGCCCAAGATACACAAAGGCACAAAGCTGAACCATATCAGGTAGCCTGACAGATGGTAGAAGCTTGAGGATCCATTGAGGATGGATCCCTCTGACACAAGCAGCAGCTTATATAGCCAAAAACCGAAGCTTCTAGACTCCATTGTTACCGGTACTGGACATCCTACAACCTGCCCATCACCTCTACCAAAACAAAACCAGACACAGGGATTGAAGGAAGAGGTTCATTTTATTCCAGTTTGAGGTAAAGAATATGAAGTAAGACCTGACTTATTCAAAGACAGATGTAACCCATTTTTTGATAGGGGAATGGTCTAGGGGGGGCTTTGTGAGGTGGTTGAACTGTAGGGTGGTGGTGTGATCTATCCTTTCCTTCGAAATCATCCTCAGGCCTCACGCACTCTGTCCTCCTTAACACACTAATTTACAAGTAAAGAGATCACAGTGATGGGTCAAGGAGAGAGTGTTGTGATCGCCTCTCCTTTAGAATTTAAAGACCATGGGCAAGGACAGTTACAGATAGGACAAAATGGAGGAAAGTGGCGGGAGCAATCCTTTATTGAGGCTTATCAAGGAAAGGTTGCTTTTTTCCCCCAGTAATGCATTGGTACCTTCATAAATTTGTTTTTACTCTCTCATTCTTTAATTATTTTTAATCTGCTATGCTCCATGGTATGATAGGAGCTGAGTCCTAGCTCAGGCCTTGGTAGTGACAAGACATTCTGTACTGCCTGAAAGGTCATAGGGTTACCATCTAACTGAGGCTTTCTGGTAAAGAACAAAGATGTAGCATTGCCCTCTCATGTACAAGTCAATCAGAATGGGCCTGTCAATTGCCTGGACAGAATCCTCTCAGGAACAGCAGCCTGTCTGCTCTAAAGGATCTAAAAATAGTACAAAGCCTCCATGAAAACATGGGTTGTCACAGCAGTCCCTTGGACCTTCGGTCACTCATTCCTGAGAGTGTCATGCTTGACCTTGCAATAAACTCCACCTATCTTCTACATGACCTGAATTCTTTCTGTGGAGATCAAAAGGACTAAGGAGTGAGATCTCAAATAACAAACATGACTTCAGAGCATTTCACAATGCTGAGATGAGGAGCTGGCAAAGTGGCTTGGGGCTACCAGGAACGCTTGCCACCAAATCCGATTTGCTGAGTTCCCTCCCTGAAGCTACTCAGTGGAAAGACAGAACTGATTTTAGAAGTTGTCTTCTGATCTCCTATGAGAGCTGTAGGGCTATCGAGCACACACACACACACACACACACACACACACACACACACACACACACAAATAAATGTAAAAAGAATTAATGTTAAAATTGGTTGTAGTTTCAGATGCCACATTTATATTCAACTAAATGAGACATATTTTTGAAATGTCTTGGAAAGACTATGGTTGTAGGGGGAGAACACTGAACAGACAAGGACATGGGCTGCAATGGGTTCATTGTTCTTGTCACCCGGCACCTCTCACTTGCTCCCCACCCCCACCCCTTCTCTGCCCTGGCTCCTTCTGTCTAAGATGTAAGGCTGTCACTGTCTTATAAAACCCTGCCTCACCTATCACCAGTGACCAATGGATTAAAATCCTGCATAGTGGAAGGAGCTCAGTCTGCCCTAGCCCTGCTCATTCCTGAGCAGGGACTCAGATGTGAACTGTGATGCAGTAAAGCTGACTCTGACAGTGGAAATGGTCCCAGCCCCCATGAAAAGATGAAGCCTACACTCAGAGGGAAGAATGAGTGGGCCCCTGTGGTGTTCCTCCCTGCTAATTCACACAGCCAATGCTGTTTGGATGTCTGCAGTGGAGAGCATCCTTTGTCACAGTACCAGGAACACAAGCACACCTAGCAAATGCTCTTCACGCCCTGCTGTGCTCCTGGCAAGCAGGAGAAAGTCTACCTGTTTTTGAGAGCACTCCGAGCCACACTCCTCTGAGGTCAGTGGTGCCCTTAGCTGCCAGCTTCCTGGGAGCCTTTAAGATGCAGAAACAGATTCCCACCCCCAGGCCCCAGGCCCCTGAGTGAGAATCTTAGAGAATGGGGATGGGAACAAGATATTTGCATCTAGTCAAGAGTCTGTGGGAGGACTTCTGATGAAATAAACACAGTTGTTCATCTCTGCTTCCTTGCAAAACCCACCAAAATCACAGCAAAATAAATTAAGTAAAAAAAATACCACAAAGCAAAAAGAATAGAAGAGACAACGTGTGACCTAGAAACTCCGTCCGAGATGAAATGAAGAACACTGGATGCCGGTGGTTACAGGGAAAGCACTGACTAGCCAAGGGCACTGGCTAGCCAAGGGCCAAGGATGGGGCTGCAATGCATTTCTTTTCCTTGTCACCCAGCACTCTTCCCTTCATCTGAAAATAAGTCGGTGTCTCTTCTTGCATGAGGCTATCTCTACGGAGAACCATCCATTCTGTCTTTAGTTTAAGACAGAAGCTGCCATCCATTAGCAAAACTTTTTAATTTTTTTAAAAATTTTGTCTCTGTGCATGTACAGGGCTATGCATGTGCCATGGTGTGCAGGTCAGAGGACAACTGTGAGAGTCAGTTCTTGCCTTCTACCGTGGGCTCCTGGGGATTGAACTCAGGTCTTCAGGCTTTACCCACTGAGCCATCTCACTGGTCCAGCTAGCAAGATTTCTGAAGGCAGAGGTTTGAGGGAGGGTTGAAAGCAGGTTAGTCAAAGCCTTCTTAGGAAGCAGTTTATGCCAGAGTAAAGGTCTTATCCTGTGCCCAGGTAATTGCCCTTCCCACAAAAAGCAGAGTAGAGTTTCACCCTCTACAGGGGACCAACAGCCAGAAGTGTGAACCTGAGACTTAGGCAAAGCTGATGGCAGGTAGGGTATCCTGAAAACAGATGTAGGACAGCGCTACAGGCTGAATGAAGTTCCTGTGGGTCAGGAGAGCCACACCTTCATTAGAGGTTGCACATGATTGACGATTAAAACTTCATGATGTGGAGAACCCAAATGTGGGGGGGCAGGGGGTGGGCTGCTTTTGGAATGCATTAACTTCTTCTACTAGGTTCCACCAACCCAAAAGCTGAGGTGTTGTCACATAGCATCTAAGGCTTACCAGATTTCCTGGCCTTGCTGTAACCCACCTACCAGAAGTTCCCAGACACATATTTGAAAAGTGCTTTGATTGATCACTTGTCTTCTTAATTTTTCAGTAGCTAACTATAAGAATGTCATGAGGCCAGGCGTTGGTGGTGCATGCCTTTAATCCCAGCACTCGGGAGGCAGAGGCAGGCGGATCTCTGTGATTTCGAGGCCAGCCTGGTCTACAGAGCAAGTTCCAGGACAGCCTCCAAAACAATACAGAGAAACCCTGTCTCAAAAAAACAACAAAACAAAACAACAACAACAACAAAAAAAAGAATGTCATGAAATGGTTAGCACATTGGAACATGATATTTGAGACAACCTGAGTCTGTGTTTCCAGGCCATAGTCACTCATAGTTGGTTCAAGAATAAACTGTCTCATTCCCTTTGCCATAAGAGCTATGTTTTGGATGGGCAGAGAAAGTATCCTGCCCTTTTTCTGTTTCTCACAGAGCTCATAGAGTTGCCATCTCTTTTCTCAAGCACTCCAACAAGCCCAAATTCATCTTCAGATATGAGGTTAGGTTTCAATAGAGGAAGGATAAGGGCAAGGGACAATATATACGCCCATCAGTGCTGGCCAAGGTCTAGTTCTGCTCATCATTTCTCAGCTCCCACAAGGGGGTATAGAAAAGTCCTTATTGTTTGAAGAGATGCCAAGGGCTCTCAGGAGATGGTTGCTTCTACTGCGGGATTCAGCCTCTTCCCCACAGATGACTGTCCTCAAAGGCTTTGCTTGTCCTAAAATCCAAGTTGACTTCATGTTTAGGACAGTAACTTGTCTCTGCATCTCCAGTCAAAGTTAAGGACACAGAAAGAAAATAAAGATGGATTGCTAGGCTTTGCTCCTGCTTCTGGGCTCAAGTAAGGTGCTTTTAACCAAAACAGCACCCAAATGCCTGTTTCCCTACCACAAGAGCCAAGCTAACCCACGCAGGAAAGCCCAGAGACAATAAGAAACCAAAAGAAATGAAGATAATGCAGAGAAGAAAACCTCCACAGAAGCTACAATTAGTAACCTTAAAGATATTAAAAGATAATATATCGGTTAAATAAACCATTTCAGAACAAGAAGTATCAAGTAACAGACATGTTAAATGCTCACAAAAATTAGAGTAATTTAAACAGAGCACCCTCTATGTAAAGAAAAGGTGGCCTTCCAAAAAATATTCCCCAAAACAAAAGCAAAAGGGGAAAAAATTGATCCCTTCCCCCCAAACAAGCATTAGAAAAATTCTTGGAGCAGGGACTTGTGTTTTCCTTTTGTGATGGTAGAAAACCCAAGCTTAGGACCCACAAACCACTGACCTGTTCATCTTATCTTCGCTGTGTGTGTTCACAGCAAATGCACGAGAATGGCAGAATCAGTACGCAGGTCTTTGCTGTGTTTTAGGTAACTTCTACCTCACTTAATCTTCATGACTATCCTAAGAATTTGGTACCGTTATCATTTCTCTTTGGGGATGAAAATATTAAGACACAAAGAAGTCATTTAAGGACTTAGATTCAACATGAGACTGCCTGCCCCCTAAGCACTTTCTGTTTTTGTTTGTTTGTTTGTTTGTTTGGTTGGTTCGTTGGTTGGTTGGTTGATTTAATCTGGTTTTTGTGTTGTTTGAGATGGTTCTTGCTATGTGAACCCATGTTGCTCTTGTCTCAGCTTTCTAGATGCTGGAATTATATGTCAGTGCCACTACACCCTGCCCATTATGCTGCTCTATCCCTTGCCTGTTAACACAAACTACATGTATATGTACACACACACACACACACACACACACACACACACACACACACACGCATATGGGCACACAGATCTTAAGCTGTGCTGTTTCTTGTTCTTGCTTCTTAGGTAGCTGTTAATGAGTACCATTTGGTGTTTTGTATTGCTTTACTTTTTTTTATTTACTGCCATGTCACAGTTCCATTTTAAATTGATCACTCTCTGCTTTTCACTCAGAATCTTCACCCAGAAATGTGAGCGACAGATCAGCCTCTTCACGTGACTGACATACCAGCTCCAATGGCCCATCAACCTGCCAGGCATCCTTTTCAAGTCAAAACACCCCGTCTTCTGCTTTTCCCATCTGATGAGTAGGGAGCTGCTGAGAGGGCTTTGGGAGAGCAGGAGAGCTCTCCTCCTCCCCTGTGAACTGTGAAGGCCAGCTGGCAGTGTGGGTGGCTCCTGAGACAGGAGCAGGGATAGTTAGTTCTATTTGCAGTCGTGAAGGTAAAGTCAACAGTGTCTGTCTTTAGGCTGCTCCCTGTGTACTCAACTGACCTCGGTCAACCCTCTCTAAATAAAAGCAGTGATAGAAATTTCCAAGACAAGATGGCCTCTGAGAGCAGTGTGTTACAATGCCATCAAAACCTCATGCAGTGAGTCTAAAGCTACAGAGTCACCGAACATCAAGAAGGGCTCATCTTCAAGGATGCCACTGGTGCCGTTAGGGGAGGTCCATCTTTCTGGCTACTGTTTCTTTAGCGTCACATAGGCTCCTTTCAGCTTTACAAAGATCTCACATCACTAATGCTTATTGCCTAGCAAAGGTCATCTGGGATGGTTAGTGTAGATGGTCACCTTGACAGGATCTGGACTCACCTGGGTAACAAACTTCCAGGCACACCTGTGAGGGATTGTTTAGCCTCTGGGCATGCGTTTGAGCGATTGCATTGACAAAGTTAATTGAAAGGGGAAGATCTACTTGAAAATTCCTTCACACCATTCCCTGGGGCTGGGTTCTAGACTACATGAAAAGGAAAAGGCTGACCACGAGCATGCATCAATTTCTTCTTCCTGATGGCAGATGGGATCGGAGCACAGATTTCCTGTTGCCCTGACCACCTCACCATGATATTCGGTACCCGGGGACTATGAGCTGAATCAGCCATTATGCAATTATTTTAATCAGAGCAATGAGGAAAGAAACTAAGTCACCACCCCTTCTGGATGTGCAGGGGATGACAGGGCCAGTGAGGGAACACGCTAGACAATGTGTGCCAGACCTTTGTTACTGAAGCAGTCATTAGAGAGACTGAAGAGCAAGAGAGGCATAAGCCACCAAAGGGAGAAAAGGTCCATAGACTGGAGCCAATTTCAGGAAGAGTTGTTCTGCGAGGTCACTGAAAAGGACTCTTTTGGTATCATAACAGCATTGATTTTTTTAAGCCTCTACATTTTAGTTACGCCTTTGACTATTTATAGGATTATCAAAATCTTGGAAATCATCTGAAGATCAAATTAAATGAATGGTAGTAGCATTCAACGAGCTATAGTCATCCCAGAGTGGATAATGCACAAACTATTCTGCTTGAATGTTCTTGAATTCATGTGAAAAGTTGATAAAATAATAAAGAGCTATGCAGTTAAACCAGTTTTCCCACATAACTTCTTTGGGGGTATGGGACATCTTTATGGACTGGACAGATGGCTCAGTGGGTAAAGACGCTTGCACTCAAGCCCGACCACCACTCGAGTTCAATCCCTGGGACTCACATGGTAGAAGAAGAGAACTGACTCCTGATAGCTGTTCTCTGACTTCAATATGTGCACCATGGCACATGCACAGCAACACACACACACACACACACACACACACACACACATACACACACTAGATAGATTGCAATAGAAAACAGTATAATAAAAAGTCACCTTTATGAAGTAGAAAGGGATTACTCTCTCTCTGCTTTATAGAGATGGAAACTCAGAGATCTGGAAAGCTATTAGATTTGCTGAAGGTCACATCATGGCTGAATTAGTATGTACAGGCTGTAGTTTGGAGCTAAAGCATGCTCCAAAGGCCCCTGTGTCAATGACTTGGTCACCAGCCAGCAGCACGACTAGAGGTGGTGGAAGGAAGTTAGGTCTTCTTGGACAGCTGCCTAGTGGAAGGAATTTAGGTCTTTGGGTGTATGTCCTTAAAGGGAAATTGGGACCCAACCCCTTTCTTATCTCCTTGTTTCTCAGGCACTGTGAAGTTAATAGGCCTTCTCTGTCATGTGTTCCTGCTATGATACTGGCAAGTCCAAAGCAATGGGGTCAAGCAACTGTGGACTGAAACCTTTGAACCAGGAGTCAAAATACACCTTTCTTTCTCGTAAGTCAATCATCTTGAGTATCTTGTCACAATGACAGAACATTAACTAAATAGTACTACAAAGATACAAAGCACTTGTGAATACATCATATTCCTGATTGTTCTGGGAAAACAATGTTACCTGTGGGACCAGTTAACTGAAGCTCTGCAAGTGAGAATTTTCCTTTTCAAGGTCTCGTCATTGCTACAATTGGCTCATATAATCCATATTCCAATTTCCAAAACCATCCTTTTCCCATAAGAATTCAAACCCAGGTTTACTGGACTAAAATCCTTTTTTACTTTCTGCTAAACCACCAAACCTTGAGGAAGATGGAGAAATAAATCTTCCTTCTTGAGCGGGATCTGTTGAACCAGGTATTTTGAGAGCCCTAGCATTTCAAGGCTCTATTTGATTATTCCAGCTCAGTAGGTATTGAAGCACTAGTCTACACAAGTCAATTGAAACCGTTTTACAAATAGAAGACACCTTAGGAAGCATGAGAGTCTAAACATGTCCCTGTGTAGCACAATATTTGAGATTTAAGATTCAACCAAGAAATACCACAGTGTTTGAAGACCTATGTGAATGTCAATGTGTCGTCACTTAGTCATCCACCAGGCCTATGTATTAGATTGAAAACTCTGTCAAGACAGTATCTAACAACAAAACTGTTGAGCAGATATCTGCAAAGTTGCCCCATGACCCCACACACCCTCAGAGTCTCCAGAACCAGGATGCAATGTGCCAGGGAGACATGAATGCATCTATTAACTTGACTGTCACTTCTTTTTTTTTTAATTCAAAGTTAACTTCATTTTGACATTGATTTTGATGTCTAGTATAATTTCATTTTTCAAGCAAAATTTCAAGACTGTCATTTCCACATACTTGCACCCAATGAGAAACAGCTTTCATGACAACTTTTTTTTATTAAGGTTCTTCATGGCCAAACAATAGTGCTTCATTCATCTGACTTGAAAGACAAGGTTGTCAGGAAATCTGTAAGTAGTTTCTGCACAAATCTCCACTCACTCTGAATAGTACCTCTGTGCAATCCTTTCCCAGATTGGCTTCAGCACAACCCTTGGCTCAGTAGGTTTCTTAAAACCGATCTTCAGATGCCATAAAGGTCCCCAGGGTTTTCTGTTGACTCTGGAGACGCTGTCTACTGTATTAATCTTTTCATGCAGCCTGCTCATTCCTGCACTTTTTCCATTCCTGAAATATTACAAGGTTCTGGTGTACCCAGAGTGTGCTTTTGAAAACTCAAATTGCTCCTTGCTTTTTAAATTTTTGTGAAAAATAATAAACGCTGCTTTTTCCTGTCAACATTTTTACTTTCCTAAGCAAAGGCAGCAAGAGACTAAGAGAAAATAAGCCTTTACATTAAGTTAGCAAAGTCGAAAAGTTTTTCTGTTTTCGTTTATCTAGTTCTTATGTAACTGTGAAACTGGTTTTCTGTTTTATTTTATCTGCTTCTTATGTAACTAGCTTTTTTGAATTAATTCTGAATCAGTGGAAATCTCAGTCCCACAAGAGAGAACTGTGAGGAATATAAAAGAGAAAAGAATCCCTCCAGCATATGGGGCTAGTTTATATCTGAGAAGTCGCCCTTTGGGGGGAGGCATCACTGAACTACAAGGAGGAAAGTTGCTCTGGTGACCTGGTCACTGCAGTCAGTGACAGAGGCAGAGAAGATGTGCGGTGATTCTCGGGTTATGGATTTGATATTTATTTATTTATTTGCAATTAAATAAAAAGTTAGGAGTCTCTTGCTTGTTCACATTTGTTTTGGTGACAGCTGCTCTGGGGAGGGGCAATATTTTTGCCATCTGCAAACTGGCAGTAACTCCCAGCCTTTACGTTGTGATTCAGCATATGTTGGAGGCAGCATTTCTGTCTCTGGGGTGCCTGATCTGCTCCTCCGGGCCCTGCTTGAAACTCACTTTTCTTGTGTGTCCATGTGTGGAAGTCCACCAGCCTGCTTTGTAAACCGTGGCTGCGTGTTTTTACTTAGTACCTACTTCCAGGCCGCCATTCTGAGAACCCAGGCATCTCAATGCATTGTTCATATCCATGCTCTCCACAACCTACTGGGATGGGTTTGATGACCCAGCTTGACAGATGGTTAAACCAGGGTTCAAAGGGATAAGAAGTTACTCATCTACAGTCACAAAGCTCGTTAGTGGAAGAACTGAGATTCAACCCAGGACTTCCGGACTCCAGAGCCTGGTTCGCCCATCCCAATGTGATGGTCCTTAGATCATGTGTAGCATCTGCTGGGAGAAGTGTAAGACTGCAACTATTGGAAGCCTAGGTGTGGTACGCAAAGGGTATGCGGGTCATGAGTTAGACCCAGCAGGGATCATCTACTTCAAGCTTCTACCCCAATAAGCAATTCTCTCTACGACATCCTATCCAAATACTTTCCCAGCCTGTGCTACAGTTATTCTAAAATGAGGGGGCGGGGTAAATGGCTATGAATAGGAGCGCATGTAAGCATAAATACCCGCCCATGGTTGAGTTTCTGCGGCAACGTTCTGTTTGGGAACAAGTGTACAAACAGACACGCTCAGGTTGGATCAGAGAATTTCCACCCGCAGAGCCTGGTGCCCAGGAGAGACTGGCAATGAGCGGCAGTCGGGTCTGCCATCCTGGTTACCATTTACATGCCTGCCTGGGGCTCACAGTCTTGAAAGGGGTCCCTCAAAGGGCTGGAGAGTCCTTTTAAAACTGCACAAACAACACGCTAAGTATAACACAAATTCAAAGAGCAATCCCTCATAAGCTCGCCAGCCAAACTAATCATTTGTTTGCATTCTTCTTGCTTCCTGCCGGGCCTTGCCCACATGTAAACATGATTTTTAGAGTTGTAATCAAATGTACATTCAATTTGCTCTTCCACTTTGCAATAACACTGTATCATGAGCATCTGATGTTCTACACAGACTGCATAATTACAATTTTTAGTGACTGTATGCTAGTCCATCAAAATGATATGACATAATTTGCTTAACTACTCGCTCTTAAGCTGTTTCTGGTGTTTCCTTCATTATAAATTACTCCACTGGTGTTTTCTTCATTATAAATTACTCTACAATGATCACATTCATTGTTATTGATTTTTCTCTTCTTTTGGGCTGTAGCACCTAAGATCAGTATACGCTCTAAGGCAGCATTTAAATGGGATCTGTCCTCAATGATGTGGCACATAGACCTAAGACCTTAGCAGGCCTGATGTTGTGTGTGGCTGTTCTCTCATGTGTTCTATAGTATCTGGCATCTTTGGCATCTAACAAGCATGTGCCATAAGTCCGTGAAAAGCCTGTCCTCACTGAGCTGACGTTCTACAAGACAGAGAAAGAGAAGTAGGTCTTGTAATACAGCTGGGTGGCAGAGTGTTTGCCTGCCTAAGATTTACACGGCTTAGGGTTTTGGTTTGTTTTTTTGGGGGGGGTCTCTAAACTTCTCATCTTTCTGAGTGTGTGTGCATGTATGTGTGTGGGTTGATCCATTGGTTGGTTTGGGGGCATTGTTTTTGCTGTTCTGTTGAGTTTTTCTCCTTGTCTTACAGTGTTAAGGGTTCAAACCCAATGCCTGGCATATGTCAGGCAAATATTCCTACCACAGAACTTCCACACCCAAACTCCTCACCTTTTCCTCTTTAAATTCTGCCATATTCACTTATCTTTTCATAAGATTTGGTTTTTTTATTTTCAATTGTGTGTAGGCCTACACATGTGAGTGCAGGTGCTTGTGGAGGACAGAGGTACCAGGTCCTGTGGAGCTGAAGTTACAAGCCGTTGCAAATCACCCAGCATGGACATTGTTCACCAAACTCAAGTCCTCTGCAAGAGCAGCAAACACTTTTAACCACTGAGGCAGCTCTCTATCCCCTTTATGCAGCACTAAGGATCAAACACGGGGTCAAACACTCAGGATCAATCACAGCATGTGTGAGAGGCCAACAGTCAGCCAGCTGAGCCACATATCCAGCTGTATTCATTTCATACAGCTCTTCACACAGGCTTTTAAGCATGACGCTTTTGTTACCAGATCTGTTATCAGGAAAAGGTTCAGTTAGGAGGCCACATCAACATACCAGAGAAATTAGGTAGGATTCTGGAGATGTGGGATGGTTGGGGGCTTACAAGTACAGTGACAATCTAAGATGTCCTCAGAGTGAAGACTAACTCATCCAATGGGCAGATGTGACTAGTACACCTGTTTGGTAACTCTTGGTGGATTTTCAGAAAAAACAATTATCCTGGCATTGGGCATAGGACAC